GACCTGGTGCCTGCTCCAAAAGGCTAAGCAAACATTTTATAGAAGGAACTGAAACCATATACAAAGCATGTTGGCCCATCGGAATGTGATCTTCGTGGGCAGCTGAGAAAGTAGGAGCTAGAATCCGAAGGGCTGCAACCAAGAGAAACAGAACCAAAGCAGGACACAATATGAAAAACTTGGAGAAAGTGCTGTTTCTGGTGATGAGACACACAACACTGTGTTTCAGCTTCATCCTCAACTCCACACTTATACACCAGCAAACACCCTGTCAGCCATTCCACAGTTTGCTGGTAAATGTTCTTCAGGTGTTGGAAGTCACCCAATCACCAGCAACAGGGACACAATACAGTATTGCAGGGTAGTGCAGCATTTCTTTCCCGCTATCTAGGGAAACTCCGTTCTTTACCTATATCCCTTTAACTCAGTGGTTCTCAACCTCCCTAATGCCGCGACTCTTTAATACAGTTCCTCATGCTGTGGGGACCCCAATCATAAAGTTATTTAGTTGTTACTTCATAACTGTAATTTTGTTACTGTGATGAATCATAATGTAAATATCTGATTGCAGGATATCTTATAGGTGACCCCAAAGAGGTCACAGCCCACAGACTGAGAGCCATTGCTTTAACCTCTTCCTGTCTCTCTGCCTACTTCAGTTCTGTCTGGCTCTGTGTCACACTGAGGGCCTCCAAAGGAAAGGGGTCAGAAATAAGCATGGAAATGACAGGCCCCTCTGCCTCATCTCTTGCAAGACAATCCCTGGATGATGAGCAGTAGGGACTTCATCCCATCCCTTGAAGGACATGCATGCCACTTTGTTTCATTTGGTTTCCTTCTAAGTTAACTTTACTTTTTATACCTTCATTTAAAAAGTATTTTCATATTTCTGGATTTCGATCAGGTCAATGTCTTCTACAATCATAGAAACTTTCTTCTTAAGAAATACACCATTACCGGGCAGTGGTGGCGCACACCAGGCGGATCTCTGTGAGTTTGAGGCCAGGCTGGACCGATAGCCTCCAAAACAATACAGAGAAACCCTGTCTCATAAAAACCAAAAAAAAAAAAAAAAAAAAAAAAGAAAAAGAAATACACCATCATTTATGAAACATTGAACTAGATGCTACTGGGAGAAATAAAAATGATTTATTTCTGAGTAGTTCATTAACTTACTCATTTCCAAAGTTTATTAATAAATGTTATTTGTTTTATAAATATTTGTCTGGGAGCCCATAGAAAAATGACTGACCATGGTCAGTTTATGTAGCACAGAGGTTCAAACCCAGGGGTTTGGTGCATGCTAGACAGTACCTTATCAACTGAGCTACATCCTCACTCTGTTGCGGGCTTACTTCTATTTCACTACCTCATGATACACTTTCAATCTGTGGGGAACGTAGGGCCAAGTAGGGGAAACTAAACACACACTCCTGACATATTCCCAAGATGGTTAATGTACTCTTTAGCACAATTGTACTCTTATCCTTGTATTCTGTGTTTGTGAGACCCTAGATCTGTGAGCCGTGCAGGTACCACATAATAGGGCTACAGAAGACGCCAGTGTTTTTAGTAAGCTCTAGTTTTGAATAAAGCAGAGAACGTGGACTTTCCATTAACTTTGTTTCTATTGATGTGATAAATATCATGACCAAAAGCTAGAGGAAAGTGTTATTTCATCAACTCCAGACCACCATGAAGGGAAGTCTAGGCAGGAACTCAAGGCAGGAGCTGAAAGAGAGACCATGGAAGAATGCTGCTTAGTAGCTCGTTCCTCATGACTGGATTTTTTATACAACCCAGGACCACCTTTCCAGAGGTGGCGCCACCACAGTGACTGGAACCTCCCACACCAATCATTAATCAAGAAAATACTCTGCAGGCTTGCCTAAGGGCCAATCTGGTGGAGTCATTTCTCAGTTGAAGTTGGTGTTTCTGTTGGCTAAGGTCACAGGTGAGTTCTTTATGTAGCAAAGGCGCACTGAGTCCTCCTTATGCCAGGGCATACCTGTGAGCTCGAGCTCTGCCTGCCGGGAGGTCAGACCAAGTCAGATAGTAGACAGCAGCACGGCTGAAAATTACAGGGTAGGTCACGATTCTGCCAGGGAAGATTGGACAGTCTGTCAAGTGTTGGGGAGTTCCTGATGAGAAGTGACATTTGGGGAGAATGCACTAATGTATTGAGGAAATGAGTACTACGTGTACATGACAGAAGTATACTGACAGATACTGAACGCAGTGGGTTCTGAGTAATGGAATGAGTATTGAGTCCCAGGAACCAGCTGTTGGTTGTATTTGATTCTAAGTGATTTAGGTTTGCACAGGTTTATGTGGCCAGTAGCTGCTGGCTTAGTGTAACAAACCCATGCAGAGTGCCCCTAGGACCATATGGTGACCCTCCTGCGCAGATGACCAGGTGGAGGAAGAAGGATGACTCCAGGTCAGCACACTGGTGGCAACACCTGGAGGGAGTCCAAGGAACAGAGCTGAATCAAACTTTGCCCCCTGGAAAGAGCCAGCAGCACTTGTTCACATAGCTGCTTAGCAATAAGGGTGGAACTTGGTGAAGATCAGCACAAAGCCTGACCTTGTGACTTCTGAGCAGTGAAAAAATATAAGGCTTGAGACCCATCAGCCCATTCGGGCGATACGCCACTCAGTGGATCAAACCAATTGGCAAGCCCAGGCTGCAGGGCCAGCCTCCCCCCCCACTTGCCTCTGCCTTGCTTCCTGCAGCTCACAAGGAGACATCTCATGAATCCCGAGCTTCTGTGTTTCCCATCTGCCGCAGATGTTCCAGACAGTGACCTAGGAAAGGATTTAAAAGACAGCTGCCCTACAAGCCACGTCTCTTCTGTGTGGGTGGTGCATTATTTCATCTACTTGGCTGAAAGAATCTGTATCTCTTGGGCTGTCTGTATTCCTCCCCTCCCTATTTGGTGGCTCTGTGCCCATGGCCACTTAAACCCATGAGGCTCCTGCAGATGGAAGAGCAAAGGAAGGATTACGAGCCAGGATGTTCTTATCTTCTCTGTAATTTTTCTTGAATTTTGAAAATCCATTTTAATCAAACTGATTAATTATTTTGGTGTCAGGCAAGAACAAGTCTGTAACTTCAGTGTGTGGCTCAATTCAGATTATGCAAAGTATTCGTTGTTCTGAAACCCATTGCTTCACAGCATAGGGACAGTGATGTCATTCTTGAGAGAGGGTAGAGCCAGACACTACAGCGCTAGCATTCTTGGGGGCCATGGAGCAGCAGATTCCAGCCTTCACTGTATGGGAAAAGTTCAACACCTCTGCGGCTACTGCCACACCTACACAACCATCTTGGCACACACCAGTTAGGAAGCAAGATCACCAGAGGCCCTGGTGGTCAGAGTGAAGGGGCATAGACATAGATGAAACAAAGCTGTTTTCTGTGCAGCTGGCCATGAGTTCAAACACAGCACAAAGCCTGGAATAAACAGTGAGGGAGTGGCTGAACAGTGCTATTTGCAAGAGTGTCAACTTTTCCCAGCCTCTGCTTTGTCCATTATAAAACAGAAATGGCAATAAAACTTAAATTATTTCTAGAGTCCTTATGAGACACAATGACCTCAGGAGCACAGAACTCATTCTTTGTGAACTAAAAATCAAAACTCCAAAACTAAAAGCTAAGAATCTAAGGCACAGAGAGCCAAAAACTCCATTCACATCAGGGCAGTTTTGACCTGCAGCGCTATGGCATGGGCTTCCAGCAGTTTTAGTGTAAGATTATGGACAACACCATTTTCATCTGGGAGATTTTGGGCGTCTGTGGATGAGTAGCTCCTGGCTGCTATAGAGTGTGGAGAGCCTAATGCAGGTGTCAAGTGGAATCATACCACAGCCAAGCTCCATAGTACATTCTCAAGCGTCTCCAGGCTATGGCAGGGTCTGAGTGATAATGAGCTCTTTGAAGAGGAGACATGCTGTTTCTTTTTTGTTTTTAGAAAAGGTGTCTGGAGTAAGCTAGGGTTTCATCTTGTGCAAAATAAACAGTTGGAGAAGGCAACCTTGTTTTTTGATGAGTCATCACAAACGGCATGCACTTTGATTACATAAAAATCCATAGTGAGTGGAGCCAGGGGTGTCCATCCAAGATCTGGGAAGCGAGTATGCACAAGCTCTACAAGGCAGCTAGGTGGTGGTTCTCCCACTGGTATGTCTTAGAATCATCTCGATGGTATTCCCAGCCCACCCACCAAACCACCTCCATCAAATTCCCAGGAAATTCTCTCCAGGTCTGGGAGAGTCCCATGTGCCCCTGTATCACTGTGAAGAGAGCTACATTTGCAGGCATCTGCTCCCAGAACAGCTGTCACATCCCCATGAGGGAGGCTGCACATCTGGGTGGAACTTGGGCCCCTTATATCCTGACTCAGATCAGCATCAAAGGAAACTTGAGTGTATTCAGAGACAGCATCCTACCTCTGTACACACGTGTCCCACCATGTGCTGAGCACAAAAAGCAAGAAACAGGTAGGACATATCTGCTGGAAGTCACCAAGGCCACCATCTTTATCCCCATCACCCCACACCAGGATCCCGGAAATCTCTAAGACATGATTTTCCTCACTGACCTCCTAATAAACCCACTGTAAGTCTAAGATGTCCTGAGTCACAATGCCTAGAGAATAATACTTGGAGAAATCAATGATAAACTAAAACAAAGCAGCGACAATGAAAGACTATGTTGAACCATTGTGAGCTAAAGACCTCTTGCATTACAATTGTTTTCCATAACATTTCCCCTACTGTTTAGCTGTCTAAGAGGTTTGCACTGGGAAGGCCCTCAGTCTTGGCCAGGTTTTCCACTGCTATGCCCTTGTTTGAGGTTCACACTTGCTGGTCATCATGGTAGCAAGAACATCAGAAACAGCAGCTAGAACAGCAGCCAGGAGGGGCCTGCTCAGACAGGTGGCATTCCGTTATTCTCTCACTAAACTTTCTTCCTGTCCTTCCTACTGTCTCTGCAGAGTGACTACTCCAGTGACACAGAGAGTGAGGACAACTTCCTCATGATGCCCCCACGGGACCACCTGGGACTCAGCGTCTTCTCCATGCTCTGCTGCTTCTGGCCTTTGGGCATTGCGGCCTTCTACTTGTCCCATGAGGTAAGGCCTCTGTTGGTTGGTTATACACAGTACAAGGTGCTGTTCACATATGCACACCATCATGAAGGATAGCCAAGGAAGCCTGGCCATGAGGGGTGTCTGCATGCAAAAGCTGGGGAACCCCAGAGAGCCAGGCAGGGTTGTTAGGTAGCCTTACCTCCTGGTCACTCAGCTGTGTCCTTGTAGAGGTGATATTGTCTTCAGAAACAGAACTGGTGACCAAAGCAGGTATCCAACTACCAGAAGCCAGATGGCCTTTGGAGACTTGACCTTTAAATGAGACTTGGTGTGTCACGTGCAGAAAAACATCTGGTCCAGGTTAGAGATAACCAGTGTAAACAGCAAACCTAGCCAGAAAGGAGGGAACAGGGTTTGTTTTCCTTGTCAAAGGCTCATTTTTTGTAAGCTATTCATATAACAGAGCATGGTCCCCAGCAGCCCGTGTGGATCCATGCTGAGTGAGAGACCCTAAAGGTACCAATTTCCAGCTTATCTTACTATTCAGCATTCCATTGGAATGCAGGTTTTGAAAGAGATTTTTCCTAGCAAAGAAAGATACAACTTTCATATTCTTATTCATAAAAGAAAGGCATTTATATGCACTAATTAAAGCATGAAATTACCATCACCACCACCCACTGTCATTGTCCCAACCAGAACAGAGAGAAAGGCAGCCCCATGTAGCACAGAGTACTAGAGACTCTGGTGCATATAGAGGGTCTCCAGGTGGCAGAAGACCCCTAAGGGAGACCAGAAAAGCCCTGCTGGCTTATAGGATTCCGAGACTGAGACTGTAAACAACTCACTGATATACTTGAAATAGGCTTTTCCTTGTTTGAACATGGCTTTCCTGCCTAAGACAGCAGTTACTTCCTGGTGGCTTCTGAATGGATGAAGTTTGGACTGATATGGTGAGAGAAGCCTCGCCTTACCTAGCTCCCTTTAGGGCACCAGCATGAGTCCAGCAATGGCCAGCTGCCTCCATTTCATAATAGCCTAGGAAGAGCAGGGGTTGTGGCCCCCTTGAGAACCAGTGCTTGTTTGCAAAGACTAAGAGGCAGAGAACTGCCTCAGAATAGGAGAGAAGGTACGGTAGACAGAATGGGGGTGAAGGAGGGAGGCACGTGGAGTCAGACAAGGAGAGTGGAGTGGTGCGTAGCTCCTATTCAGAGCTTTGGCCTAAGTTCTGGATGATAAACACTAGGGTGGGTGATTCTGGATCCCTAAGGTCATGCTGAGGGCTTGTTCTATGGCCAGCCCTGGCCTGGAAGATCTGTCTAGGTGCCTCTTGTGAATGTGCTCTATGGATGCTACAGTCAATGAATGCAGTCAATGGTATAAACTTGTATGGAAAGCCAGATTCCTGGGCCCAGGCAGATGGGAGTTGAGGCAGGCTCAGATGATCCTGGTCTCCAAGGCTTTCACAGGTACCACCCATACTGCAGATATGGATGCATGAGGGTTTGGAGGAAGAACTGTGTGAGATATTCATGGTGAGTGAAGTCTGCTCCTGCCTGTATAGGAAGCATGTGAAGTCTATGTTAGACAATGAACCTTACCAGTAAGGGGGAACAGAGATAGACAATGTAGTGAAGAGAGCCAGTTCCTGACCCAGCAAGGGCATTGTGGATCTATCTCATGAGCTGAACATGCTACAAACCACCCTGGATCTTACACTTCATAACTGTGTCATCCCAGGATAAGAAGGATATGGCCCATTTGCCCTCCTGGGCGCAGGTGCATAGGCAACAACACATGAAAAACCAGAGCTGAGATTTGCCATCAAGTTTTGGAATGAGGATGCTGTTTTCACCTTGTGTTCCACTGGAGGAAGTGTCACCTCTTCCTGGAGCATCCAACACTAGGACCCTAGGTAAATGGCATGGGTCAAGGAATGGTGGCTTGTGTGTCCACACCGGAAGCCAGCCTTCATCAAATCTGCTAACTATCCCAGCTCCATGGTCTCTGCTTCTTCACATACCCTGCAGTGAAGCCCCTGTCCTCTTCCAGGCAAGGTGAGTTGTGGCCAGCACCTGTGTCCCAAAGGTGTTAACTGCATTCAGAGTCTCATCTCAGAAATCAAGTTGCTTCATTATATGGTAAGAAACTCGAAGACTTGGGTCTCAGGATTCAAGTCATTTAATACCTTTGGTGATCAAGAGGAATGTTACTGTTCAGCAGGAAATAAAAAGTGTACCCTCTGCAACAGCTTCTAGTGACTTTTTTTAAAGACTTCTACAACACTTTGCAGTAGGCAGGAGTGGATCTATACTGCTGGAGGAAGAAAAGGTGCTCCCAGCTCCTCTCCCTCCTCCCCAGCTTCCCTTTGTACTATAGTCAGAGGATGGGTTCCCTGCTGTGGGACCCAGAGTTCTGCTGCTGTTTCCACTGGAACTGTCTGGATGGAATCTCCTCTGCAGGGCCCGTGTCCAAGTCCTGTCTAGGTGGAGTCTTCCATGCCCAAACACTTCCCAAAGCCTCCTCCCAGCCAGAAGGCTGCTGGGCACTCTGTTTATGCCTCTGCAACCCAAACTGCAGACAGGAAAGAAATCTCCAGGCCATTTGAGGAGAGCAGACAGCTGCCAAGAGGAGAGTGCACGGCATGGACTAGAACAGACACACTCAGAATCAAGCTCTAAATTGAATCAAAGCTGGCCTGGACATGGCCAACTGGGACTGCTAATCCTGGGGCCTGGAGGGAGAAGCCCAGTGCCTTCTCTCTTTGGAGGTTCTTTGCAGATGTTGTCAAGGCCCCAACATGCTCAGCTGTGGCACCTCCGGGTAGTTACAGCCAGCACAGTGCTGTTCTGAAGCCTGGATCTCCAAGGATATGGGGCTGCTCACAAGAAATCCTTGACATGCGCATGTGACTTCAGTTGTGTTTGTTTGGTTGGTTTGGTTTTTGCTGTTGCTTCTTTTCCTTTCTCAGTGTATCCACTGGCAAATCAACTGGCCCTTTCTATTGTCAAAGCAGCTCTCAGTGAGATTACAGAAGTACACGAGGCCATTCTGGGAAAGCAGAGCAGGGGGGTTGGTTAAATCCATCAGCGGTGAAAAGAATGAATTTCTGTTCTGGGATTACAAACTTGGGCTTTTTGGGTTCTGTCTTCCTCAGAGCAGATCCTTGCTGTGGGCAGACCTTGCCTGTTTCTTAGTCCATAGCATGTCATCAAAAATAATTCCCACACCCAAGATTTCCCACAATTGTCCAAACACTGTGGATCTGCAAGGAAGTGGATGCCTGGACAGAGGCAGACAACAGACAGGAGTGCTAAAGATGTGAGATCAGACTAACAGTAGTGACAGCCAGGCAGCAGGTAGTGACAGGCAGCAGGAGTAACTCTGCTAAGCACCCTCTATGCACCAGAGACTGCATGCCACTTTGTGTCCCTGCTAAAGCTCTGGTCCCTCTGGGAAGAGAATGCTTTGGGACTGCACTTTCCCACCCCAGCACAGACCTGATCTTCGGGAGTGGGGCCTGGGAACCTGCATTTTAACAAGCCTGCTGGCTTATTTCTCAACACTAAGTGTGAGCACTGCTGTCCACCCAAGCAACCTCAAGCAAGCTGGGATCGCATATATTTTGTTGTGGCTGAGGCTGCACTCAGAGAGGTGAAGTGCAAACTTGAGGACAGGGGTTTAGGATAAAGAATCTGGCGGGAAGCCTGCCATCCAACACTGTGTCCTGAGCTGCTACAAAGGATTTGATATAGATGCAGAGTGGGGGGGGGAGCAAGTGAAGCTTGCTACCCATTTCAATTTCATGGTGTCATCTGGCCCCCAGTGAGAGTCAGTTCTGTAAACTGTCTTATAGAGAAAGGTGTAGACTGCAGATTAAGTTAGGAACTGGTGTTTCCAAATGATACTAAATCCCACAGTTTGCTGAGTAACTGCTGTAAGCCAGTTAATGCTCACACTTATCTTCTTTAATTCCTCCAATAAGTCTAAAAGTGAAAAACTAGTATCTCCACTGAAATGAAAAAAAAAAGTTTCAAGGATGCAAACGACTTCTAGATCTCATAAAGGTAGCAAGTATGGGGGTGCACGAGGCAAAATGCCAGCACTGCCATCCATTAAAGCTGAATCTGTTGCAGCAGAACTCCTTTATCTGTGTGCAAACACATCTCAGAGCACAGGACTCCCTCCTCAGTCCTCTGTCCCCACATCCCACTGGAAGAATGTGTGGCACAGGGATCCCAGGGGAAACATGGCCATGTTTGACTTTGTGGCCCTGCACTCTGTCCCTTGGAACAGATGGTGACCTGAAACAGCAGCTGCACACACTCCCTCGGGGCCTCGGATCTGGATCTGCACCACAGGCACTGGGGTTGCATGTGTGAGGTGACTAGCAGAGTCTTCTCTTTGAGACATTTATTATGCCTTAATTTCATTTCATTTCATGAAATGCTTCTTTCCTTTACTAACTGCAATATTACAGCAATAATTAAATGGGAGATGGGTACTTAGGACCAGATTAGGAATTTTATGAATAGTGCCATCAAAAGGACAGGAAAACCTTCTTCTGGGGGAATAGGGGTCCTGAAGAACTGACCAGCATCTCCTTGAAATTACCAATGAGCCTCTGTTTATTGAACACATAGAATGTGTCAGCTCTGATACGGGTGCTCAGGGTGTTGTGGTAAACAAGACAAGTCAAACTCCCCACTCATAGACTTGGCATTCCAGTGAAGTCAGGCAGTGAAAAAACCAAGAGTAAAATCAGAGAAGTATGCAAGAGAAAGATAACATTGCAAATGGATGTGGGAGATAAAATTTTAGGGAGTGATCACAGAAGAGGCTGCTAAGGTGACATTTCATGACAAAGCCTTAGGCTTGAGCCAAGAGGTGCTCTTGAGAAAAAGTCTTCCTGGAAGAGGCTACCAGTACAACGGCTCTGTGCTAGAACTAGCCTGGCACACATGAAGAATGACCTGGCATGATTGGAGGCAGGACACGCCTGGTTGTGAGAGTTGGAGACTAGAACAGAGGAAGAGGTAGGG